TTTTTTTATCTTGGGTGTTAATGTAAATTTGAGTTTGTCATTTTAACTGCATTTCTATGCTGTTTTAGTTGAAAATGTTGCATGGCAGTAATTGTTACTTGCTTTTATAACTGTATTTTGTACATTTTGAATTTCTTTGTATAAGACCTTAGATTCCTGAATTATGGGTTTTAGTGCACTTAATATTAGCTTGCTTAAGATACACTTTTAATCAAGTAGTACAAAAAATGTAAGTGGCATTTATACATGCAGAAACTATTGAAGTATTTAGTATATAAAATATTTTGAATACACAGCTCTTCTGTCAGTGAACTCGGCATTGTGTTCATTACACTAAATTACACAGGCTGTCAGGATAATTGAATTGGAACTTCATCTGCATGTGTATATATGCCAAATTGTCAGCATGACAGAAGTGACAGATGTTATTTTTGTATTTTTTAAAAAGTTTGTTGTATATAAAGTTTTATTTCTTTTGTGCAGATCAATTTTTAAATTCATGTAGGTAGGTACTTTACACTTGTAAACTATGAAGCATCAGTGTTAGCCGGACAGTGTGATGGAGCAAGTGGGAAGTCGGAGTTCAGTGATGCCGCAGGAGCTGTCTAGTTCTGCTTTGCCTTGAAAGCATCATTGATTTGTATTTTAGTGTTAACTACAAAATCATAGATGTTTCATATTAAAGACAGACCAAAATCAACACATGGAAGCTTCAGACACTTTGGGAAACTTAACTTTAAGTACATTTGGCCTATATTAAATAACATTTTTATTAACTGCTTCTGACCATATAAAATGCTAATTACAGGCCACCTTCATAATTAAGATAAAAGTACTAGGTATAATGGCAGAAGAAAATGCCTAGGAGGTAGCAGATACCTTTGACAAGAGTATTTTTCAGAATGGTCATGTAATGTACTTATTTTTAGAATTAAAGAAATTGAATGTTTGTTGCGTTTTTACATTTTGGCCAATCAGGATTCCACATGATCAAATTCAGGAGGACCACTCCTGAATTTAAAGGACTGAAGTGTCTTTTAAATTGACTGTCTTAATTAGTTTACTAAATAACCTTTCTCTGAATTTTAGAAACATGCTGCTTATGACAGAATTAGGTATTTGAGGTACCAGTTGAGTGTTCTAAAATCTTTGTGTCATACAACAGAAATATGTAAGATTGATATATGTTGAACATTGAGGTATTTTCACAGATTTCTTTCTTGACAAAAGTTAGGACAGTAGGAAAAGGTACACTGAATACAGATGAATGAGAAAAGCAACTGAGACCTAAAATTTGGCTTTTGATTTTAAATATTTAATTTGTTCCTGTAAACTTTGTCAATAAAAAAAAAATCGGTGAAAAAAAAATAAAAAATAAACATGTGCTAGTAAATACTTTAATAAATTTTAAAAAGCAGTATTAAAAGGAACTTTTTAGCAAGCTACAGCTAACAAAAAGGGCAAATTCCAAATAAATGCCCTAATAATACATCCCAAAAACTTAGAAAACCACCAACGATCCTAAATTGATAAAATTAATCCTAAGATTCAGAGAAGAACTGAACACAGACTAACAATACAAAACATCAATGAAACATAGTTTTTTGAGAAGGTTAACAAAACTGATTTTTCTTTTTTGGTCTTTTTTAGATAGTCTTGCTGTGTAATTTAAGATGCCTTTGAACTCACATTATAGCCCAGGGTAGCCTCAAACTTGTGGTGATCCTCCTCTGTAACGGAATTACAAGCGTGCATCACCATGCCTGGCAAGACTGATAAACCTATAGCTAGACTAAGAAAATAAGAGAGAAGACCCAAATAAATAATATCAGAGTTAGAAGACAATACAACTGATGCTACAGAGTTACAAAAGGATCATTAAGGAGTATCATGAAAAATAATATGCTCACAAATAGGGCAACCAGAGGATGTGGGCAAATTTCTGAATATGATCTACCAAAATCGAATCATGAAGACATAAAAAAAAATCAGAAAATTTCTTCTGAAATGGACAAGGTAAGAATGCCCTCTCTTACCTCTCTTATCCAAAATCATCTTAAAAGTTTTAGCTAGAGTAATTTTTTTAAAAAAGTAATAAAAGGCATATGAAAAAGGAAAGAATGTAATTGTCTTTGTTTGCATATGATCTAATTCTACACACAGGAAAACCTAAAGACTTCACCAAAGACTACCAGAACTGGTAAACTCAGTAAAGGATACAAAAAGCAGGGGCCAGGGTGATGGCTCAGTGGAATAAGTGCTTCCCTGGCAAGCGCAAGGGCCTGAGTTCAATGCCCGGTTCCGCCAAAAAAAAAAAAGAAAGAAAGAAAAAAAGTGGGGGCTGGGGAGATGGCTCAGTAGGATAAGTGCTTGACTGGCAAACGCAAGGATCTGAGTTCAATCCCCGGTTCCGCAAAAAAAAAAAAAGAAAGAAAGAAAGAAAAAAAGGTACAAAAATCAACATAAAAATAAGAAGCTTCTCTACAAACCAAATAATAAATCTGCATAGGATGAAATAACCCTATTCATCACCAAAAATAAAATGCCTAGAAACAAATATAAGCAAGGAAAAAAACTCTACAATGAAAATTACAAAACATTTATTAAAAAATTGCAAGGTAGAAAGGTGTTCCATGTCATTAGATTAGAAATGTTAATACTGTAAAAATGTGCAGACTGCAAAAAGTTATCTAAAGATTCAATGTAATTTCCATCAAAATACAAATGACATTCTTTAAGAACGAAAGAAATAATCTTAAAATTTATATGGAAGCACAAAAGATTCCAAATTGTCAAAGAAATCCTGAACAAAGAAAACAAAGCTGGAGTCAACTCAATACCTGCTTAGAAGACATACTGCAGAGCTACAGCATCCAAAACAACATGGTATCAGCATAAAAACAGAAACAGCCTAGTTGGACAGAACAGAGATACCAAAAATGAATGCATTCACCTACATCTAACCAATTTTTAACAAAGGAGCAAGAACATACACTGAAGCAAGACGAGCCTTTTCAATAAACAGTACTAGGAAAACTGTATATCCACATGTAGACAATCAAAATTTGTCAACTAGCTCTCACTCTACAAAAATCAACTTAAGACAAATCAAAGAGCTAAGTGTATGATGGGAAACTCTGAAATTACTAGAGAAAAACACAAGGGAAATAGTCCAAGGTACTCTAGGTAAGAGCCTAGAAGCACAGGAAATACAATCATATACTAACAAATGGCACTATAGCAAGCTAAAAAGTTTCTGTGCAGCAAAGGAAACAAGACAAGGAACAACCCAAAGAATGGGAATAAATGTGAAAACTATTCACCTGATAAAAGGCTACTAATATCCACAATCTATAAAGAACTATAAAAATCTAAGTAAAAGTAATTTAAAAGTAACCTAATTAAATGATGTTCAAATGATCTCACCAGGTACTTCTCAAAAAGAGAAGCAAAAATGGCCAACATATGTGAAAAAGTGCTCAATGTCACTAGCCATCAGGGAAATAAAAATTTAAGATACTACCTCACCCATTTCTGTATTATCAAAAATTAACAACTGCCAGAAAGAATACTAAAACAGTAACTTTCGTCTATTAGTATAGCCACTATGAAGAACTGTATAGAGGTTCCTGAAAGGAAAGAAAAACCTAAAAGCAGAGCTGCCATATGATCAGCTATTCCACTTGTGAGTACATATCCAAAGGAAATGAAATCAGCACATGAAAGACAGTATTCACAGTGGCTAAGATAAACATGAATAAAATGTGGTACCTATACAGTGACTTATTATTCAGCCATAAAGAATGAAATCTTGTCATTTGCAACAGAATGCATCAAACGAAGAACATTAGGTGATGTGAAAAAAGCCAGACATTAAAAGATAAATACCACATGACTCCCGTATGTGAAAGCTAATAAAAGTCTAAAGGAGAATACTGACTGCTAGAGAATGGGAATGGTGTCAGCTGGGAAGGGTGGAAAAGGAAGGTGGGATGTGGCCAGCAATATGCACGCACAGAGGCAAAACAACGAATTCCATTAATGTGAACAACTAGTATGTCTTAAAGGACATGTAAAAAAAATTATTTAATTCATGATACATTTTGCTTTTATAGTAATTTTTTCTAAAATTCATACTTTGGTCCATATATTTCTAATGAAAAATACTTGTGACTCCTCAAATTAATAATTGGAGAGTACAGAATGCTACACTTCATTTTCCTCAGTCTTTGCTTACTTGTTTAAGTGCTCAAATAATGTTCCAAATTTTGCTACTTCATGTGGTGAGTTGAGAACATTTTGACATTCACTTAATTTGGAAACCAAGGAATCCAAACAGTTAACAGTGTTGCACTGAAAAAAAAAGGAAAATGTCAAAATAATAAATGTACATATAAATTATCAAAAATATCACTTAAGTGAACTATACCTTTAAGAGTATATTTTTAGTCCAAAAGAAATTTTAGTCCTATAAACATAATACTTTTCTAACAATGAAATCATTTTTAGCATCTGAATGCTTGGTAAAATAACAGGAAATATAGTAAACTATTTCCTCAATATAAAAAAAGGTTACAAAAACAATAAACACTATGATTTTGAGTTAAATTTTGTGAAAAAAATAGTTTATTTCAAGGAAACTGCTGTAGTCATCTCAGTTTGTCCATTTACTGAGTATTTTAGACCACTTAACTTTTCTGAATATTAATGTAACTCCAAGTAAAATGGGAATAGCATGTGAAGACTACAATGGAAACCAGATGAGCACCCATTTTCAACGTGGAAGGTACTATTAACATAACTTAACTCAATGTTAATCTAATAATAATGTGTATCTACGGTATGTTTTCCTTGTTGTCCATGAAACATAGGAATGGGAAATCCAAACCAAGCATTCATAGGGCCCAGAAAAAGAGCAGAGTTAAGATTTGTAGTTGTGCAGACCCGTAACTCTAGCACACAAACCAGGTTCGGCAAAGGGAAACTGTCTCAAAAAAGAAAGAAGATGGGAATGGAAGACCAGCAGAGACACTGCTTGCCTCTGGTGGAAAAAGTTTAAATATGAACCAAAGTCAGAGACAGCTGATACTAAGGTTTATCTGATTAATATATGTCTCAGAAAGAGATGGTGTCAGAGCTACACAAACACGGTAGTCTGTAAGTGACATAAAAACACACTAACAAACTGGAAAAGAACAGAAGATGGGAGGAGTCAATGTAGACATAGTATACCTGACTAGCATGCCCTGGGGTTAGTCGCCTAGACAAAAAAATGGAAGACAGAAAAGTGAATATACTACACAGCTTGGACTCATAATCATCCTCTTGCCTCAGCCTCCCCAGTGCTGGGATTACAGGCGTGTATTACCATGCCTGGTTTCAGTGGCCTTCACAGTACGCCTGGGGGTTCTGGGGCCAGCAAGGCATGCAGTACTAGGAATCAAACCCAGGTCCTTGTGCTTTGCCAGGCAGATGCTTAGACCATCCAGCTATCTCCTCAGCCCCAAATACAATATTCTAATTTTAACTGCTCTAGCAACATCTCCAAATAACCTAATAGATACTGCGTTAATACTGCATATATGACATCCTGACTTGAAGGAGATCAGCTACTCTTTTTAGATTTCTGCATTATTAGGTGTAAGACTTTCTACCTGTCTCAAGGTTCTCACTAACCTGCAGTGTACACAATGTACAGACTAGTGGAGATTGTTTCAGTAGCAATTACACAGTGTTTTGGAATCTGTCCTACAAACTATATAGCAGCAAGAACGAATCATAATTTGTTCTGGTTTTGTCTTAAAAGTGACAGGGTAATTGAATGTCTTTTATTATGTCATTTAAAATACACTGGGCCCTTTACTAAGGTTAACACATATCACAGGGTCTAAAGAGCTAATTTTCTGTTCTCCAAGAAACAGTAGAACACTTTGATAAAAACTTTAATAAAATCGAAGTATATATTATACCATATATAATGTTAACACAATGTATATATAACTCATGAATTTACAATTTTAGATTTACTTATAAATAGTAAATATGTTATAAAACTGGTGCATGCTAAAAATAGGAGAAATTAAAAACTAAATTTTTAAGTGTGATTTTTTTTTTTAAGTTATCTTTTTGAGACCAAGAAGGGTTTCACTATGCAGGTTAGGCTGGCCTTGAACTCAAAAGATATCCTGCTGCCTCAGCCACCCAAGTGCTGGGATTACAGGCATGTGCCACTGTGCCAGCAACATTTTTTTGTTTGTTTTCATACTGAGAATAAAACTGGGGACTTCATGGTTACTAGGCAGGCACTAATTCTCAGCACAGTGGCACAGCACCTGCTTGACAAGCACAAGGTCCTGAGTTCAATTCCTGGTACCAAAATCAAACAAAAACAAAGAACTAAATCTTAACAAGACATTTATGTAACTATTTTTTTCCACTGCCAGTATCATCATACAGTGAGTTAATATTTTTATTTTTCAATTATATCTATATAATAATATAATAATATATAATAATACATTTCTGTGTATGTTGTTTCATTTTGTCATTTTCATTTTTTGAGTCAGGGTATCAGTTTGTAGTGTAGGCTGGTTTGACCTCATTAAATAGCCCTGACTGGCCTCAAACTCAGGTTGTTCCTCCTGCTGCAGCCTCCCAAGTACTGGGGCTACAGGCGTGCGCCACAGGCCTGGATCTATTCATATTCTAGCCAATACTTTAGAATTTAAAATTGTTAAATCTAGAAATTTAAATTTTATAAAATGGATGTAGACTGAGCCATCATCACATCGCCAGTCATTAACAGTGATTATAAACGTAGTTAAGATAAAACACCTTGAACTATTTTCAACTTTGTATTAACAATTTTCTAAAAGAATGGTAATTTCTAAGGTTTTTAATAGAATATAACTATTTTTGGACTTACAAACTTCTGCAGAACAGAAAATTTTCTGACCAAAGATGAATTATCTAACTTGGTTGTATCTGTACCAATTTTTCAAATCTATAAAAAGAGAAAACACACCTTAACTTCCATCTTGTCTCCTTGAGGGCCTGGCCCTGTCTGACTGCCTATGATATTTCTATCTAATTCAGCTGCCTACAATACTGTGCCTCAGTTTCTTCATCTGTATTATGAGAAATGTGCCTTCTTCTCAACTGACTTTATTAGTATTATCAATTCTTGACCAAGACTGGATCTTGTTTCCTCTTGAAAATGTAGAGCTAACCATGTGACTGAGCCCCAAATGACCAGTAAAGGAAATTTTATTCTTGGCCAAAGACTAAGAGAAGCAAAAATTGATGCTACAGCTGCTCAAAAAGCTGGGGATTCCTTTCTTGCAATGAGTTTGCCGTGAGAGCACAAGCATGGTGAAAGCCACCACTAAATCAAAGCCAACATGGGAAAAGAAAAGACTCACATTAATATTGTTGTCATTGGACACATGGACTCCAGTAAGTCTACCACCACTGGCCATCTGATCTACAAATGCAGAAGCATCAACAAAAGCA